ATCTATATCCCCATCGACACGAAGGGACTATCATCCTGGTATCAGAAGCAGGACACACTTAAGGTATCCAGACACCGGCGAATTTGAAATCCTTATTAGTTTGTCCTTGTACTCGGCAATTGCAGATTGATGTAGTACTCTTCAGACCATCCAGACTTCAAGGGTTTTTTCACAAAGCGCCAGCAACCAATGAAGTGGTTCATACAAGGCAACATGTGCCGAGACCAAACGGTTCTGGCATGATTTCTGGTTCCTCGCAGTCAATTTGGGATCTTCTTCCTGTCGGATTGCATTGTAGTTAAACACAAATTCCCCCAAAAACACATCTCCTTTTTCTTTGGCACCTTTGACAATTTGTGGTGGTTTTGCGGAAGGCCGGCCAAAATGGCAATCCTCTTCTTCAGTCCATTTCGAGGTTGGCCGTTGAGAGTCTTCTTCGACTGGTAACGAGCTCAGGAGCTTCACAGCATCCCCCTTTTTTGTCCTCTTCCTTGGCGGCAATGGAGGCTTGCCAGTGGGCTTCTTGGCGGCAGCCTTGGCGCAGCAATTTCTTCAGGGGAAGTCGTCATCGTCATCTTCTGTCGTCATCGGTCGTCCATCTCTTCGTCAGAATCGTCATCCGACTCCTCTTCCTCGTCAAAATCCTTTCCAACGCTTCTTGCTATGGCTCCTGGTACTCTTGGCAGGTGTAGAAACTGACCCTACTTCTTTCATTCTTCTTCTTCATATGATGACTTGACTGATAGGCAGATTCATCTTGACGATTCTTCCTGATGTCTGCTGCGGCCTTGGTGTGCTTCTCCACAAAGCCATCTCCTTTCCATTAGCTCCTGCATTTCATATGTCAAAAAAGCAACAGCAAAGCAACCAAAGCAAAAGCAACAAGCAATCAATAAAGCACACTGATGAGTGAGCGAAATGAGCTCGAGCGAAAGTTTCACGGAACGAACGACCGTTTCGGCGACCTATGTTGCAACACGAAATTTTATAGTGATTGAATTGGTCAATTAGGTATCAGTCGACCGATATGGCGACCCAATTTTAGTGAATGAAAAAGGTCGCCGTTTGGGTCGACCAGATAGGTATCTATTTGGGAACGACCAATAGTGCGACCTATATTTTTAGTGACTGCTCTAATAATACATACTAATGCAGCATCACTTACTTAGAACACACATTGATTTAAAAAAGACTAGATGTGGCCCGGCAGGGGGTTCAAAGTGGAATAGATCCATTCCACCTTATCATTGTTACAACCCTGTGTTCATTCATCTTTGCGCCGACGAAGGACGCAGCTTGTATCACAGCGCAACCCGGTGTCATTCCACGCGGTATTAAGGACAAGATCTCCAGGCTCCAAGAAAAGCACTGGTTTGGGCTGCTGGATAAGAAACTGGCGAATTGGCTGAATGGCTTCTGGAACCAAACAGGTGTGTTGGGCAAGCCAATGCTTGGGGTCACCCTCTTCATGTTTCTCCATCAAAGCCTCTGCTTCTTCTAGTAGAGTCTCAAACTTAACTCTGTCACCCTCCTGTCTATTGTGCTCACTGAATTCATACGACTGTACTTCATCCACGGACAAGCCACTCGTTTGCGAATTCGAAACAAGAACGACTGTGCATAATACAGAATCCTGGTCTCGAATTCAAATCCATCAAAAGAACCCAAAGTGCAGTCCCTCTGAAAGCAGGCATTGTGTGTAAGCCGGAGTTCCTTCTCAAATTCCATCCGACCCGAAATATTGTCATCCCAAGCAGGAGTCCATTTGTCCTCTTCGTTCGCTTCTTCAATGTCTTCATCTGTAGTCCGCCAGAACTCACAGGTTCCTTTTGTAGTCCGATTTTCAACTTGTCCACCAATCCAAACACCACGATGGTAAATAATGTCATAGGTTCCCACCACGCTCTCTGGGTCCACTATATTGGGCTCACATTGGTGAGAGTCCAACTTGGGAAGTTCGTAAAAGTGAACGTTGTGTTTCCTCATGATTGGATGTTCACAAGCTGCTTTGGGATTTTGCTTCAACATAAAATCCTTGAATTTGGCCTCTTCTGCTTTGCGCTGTTCCTCTTCTTCCTTTGCTTTGGCCTCTTCTGCTTTGCGCTTTTCCTCGTCTTCCTTGGCTTTGACCACATCACAGGGCAAGCAACGAGAAAACGGTTTGGACTGGTATGTCTCCATTGTCAGCCCATCACAGAGCAGGTTGTAGTGCCATTGGTCCTCGGAAAACTGGTCGAGCGGTTTTGTCTCTTTACAATCCATACACGGTCTTGGAATCTTGAGGATGCATTGCACACAAATGGGGCCTTCCATGTTCCTGTTCATGGCCATGTCCATGTCCTTTGGCTTTGAACGATTGAGCATGCCATAAGCCTTTCTTTGATCCAAGGCATATCCTGTCCTGTCCTGCATCTGCTTGCAAACACGGCAGCAATATTTTTTGGTTTGCTTGGTTTCCTTAGCTTGCTTGGCGGCGTTATGCTTCTGGACTCTAGCACCAGCCCCTTCCTTCCACTGTTTAAAGCTGGTGCGGGAGCTTGGCTTGGGGACTCTACCGGTGCTAACCATACAATCGCGGCATAAGGAAGCATTGTCTCCTTGCTGCCACTGTTTAATGCTAAAGCCAGTGGTACGGCATTTCGTATTTTGGCAATTCGCACATTGTCAACTAAACTTGCCAGGACATTTGGTGTCTTCACAAAGCAAACACTTCCGACAAGTAGTAGTAGCACCTGTTTGGGCGACAAGAGTCGGCTTGGGTTTCTTTTTGGCTTGGAGAGAATCACCGGCTTCAGTGGCATGGCCACGTTTGTTGTCTCCACTGCTTTCGTTCATGGTGTCTTTGTTTTTTATGATGCTACTGTACTATTAGTCGAGATGTCTCCTTGTCTCCTTCTCCAGGCGCTGTTGCTTCTGTCCTTTTTGGCGCGGCCTTGCCGTCGGCTGGCAGCCAGCATTGGTCTTCAACGACGAAGTCAGCGGAAGACAGGGGGTAGAGAGCACTACATACAGCCTGTGCATATGAACAGGATTTTTAGAGAGCCAGCCTGCAGTCAAATTTTGGCCTGGCAGGCGACGCGATTCCTGTGCAATTGTACAGGCGACGTGATTCCTGTGCAATTGTACAGGATCGACGTGATTCCTGTACAATTGCACAGGAATCACGTCGTTCCTGTGCAATTGTACAGGAGGTCGGATCGACGTAATTCCTGCGCAATTGTACAGGAGATCGGATCCTGTACAATTGCACAGGAAATCGGACGTGCTTCTGCATGCTGGTTGAAGGCAGCAATATCTTTTGATTTCCCGAAACCCCTGAGTCGTACAACAAAGCCAGAAGCACGACAAGCGTTAACAAAATATGGTGCAAGCATTTTAGTGCAAGCGTTTTAGTGCAAAACTCAGCAGTATTGGTAGAGAATTCCTTTGGGAGCCAGTGCACAATAGCAGTTTTGGGCTCCGATCGGTTGCGAGTATTGTGACCGAGTGTTGGAATAAGATTGATTTCCTTTCTATCTAAACCGACCCTAAAAATAGGGACGGTTTCTGAAAAACCGTCCCTAATTTAGGGTCAGGTTTTGATTCGTGAGTACCTGCTGCGGGTACTCGATGTGAGTACGGGTACTGAGTACTGGGCCTACTCAGTACCCGTACTCACATGACCTCCGAAATTCTGAGTACTACTCAGTACCCGTACTCACTTACCTTTAGATTCCGAGTACTTTGTGAGTCTTCGGTGGGTACTCGATGAGTACTTTCGATCAGTACTCACCGAGTACTATGAGTACTGAATGGGTACTTTGTGAGTACTCAGTGGGTACTTTCTCACGGCGAAACAGCAAAAAGATCATTATTTTCTCACTTTGGGCCCAATTGCAACGATAAATTCTCTAAGTAATTGGTATATTAGTACTCAGTGAGTATACTGTAGTACCCAAAAATACCTGTACTCACATAGTACCTATACCCACTTGACCTCAGAAATTCTGAGTACTACCTAGTACCCGTACTCACTCACTTCCAGGCTTCTGGGTACTACTCAGTACCCGTACTCACATGCTAAAACAGTGTGAGTACCACACCCTGATATGTATGTACAGCCTCCTGTATATATGAACAGGCAGGCCGTCCATTTCCTGTGCATTTGAACAGGACGTCGAGCTCCTGTATATTATGAACAGGCAGGCCCTGTGCAATTGAACAGGCGTCGCTATCCTGTTCGATTGCACAGGAAATGGACGTTTTTGAATTCAGGCAAAAAAAATGGCTGGCTTTGCTCTCAATCTGCGGGCTTCCTCCCTGTTCATATGCACAGGCTGTATGTAGTGCTCTCTACCCCCTGTCAATAGTATCAGTACCGGTACTGGTTCTGATAGCTGTGGTACCGGTACCGGTACCACTATGGGATGAAGGATGAAGGTCATGCCTTTGATGAAAATCTGAAATCCAATTCATCAGTATTCATCATTTTCGTCACCAATTCATCACAATTCATCACCAGGCCATTTGTTTCATCATTATTCAACCAAATTCATCACATACTCAGATTTATCATCACCATTCATCACAATTCATCACCACCTATTGTAAAACAGTAGTACATTTTCAGCACTATTCATCACCAGTCATCACAGATTCATCATTTTTCATCACTTTTCATCACCATTCAACACAAATATTTAAAATGCTTCACCAGTCAACACATACAGTTCATTTTCATCACTATTCATCAAATGGCCAAAAATTCATCAAGGGCGGCACTTCCATACTTTAGAATTCTACCGGTAGACTACTGGACGTCTGTGGAAACGTCATTCGTGGCAAAATAATTAAGAGACGATACACCAAGGCATAGGAGACGATTGAAAGGATTTAAGAGACGAAAGCAATCGTCTCCTATATTTAGGAGACGATTCAGTAGGCGACATTCCAATTAGGAGACGATCGTTTCGAAATATGAGACGATCCGAAAGATTTAGGAGACGATACCATACAGTTTACATGGTACACTTAGGAGACGATCCGTTGAGAATTGGAGACGATCCGTTGAGAATAGGAGACGATTCAAGAGGAGACGAAAGATTTAAGAGACGATCCATTTCGTCTCCTATTTTTAGGAGACGAAATCCATTAAATAGGAGACGATCAAAAGGATTTAGGAGACGATCGGTAGCACGACTCGAGTTTCCACAGAGGTCCTGTACTTGTGCCTGGTTTGGCTACTTCATTATTAGGGCTACGGTAGGGGCTAAAAAGCATACAAATATATTCAGAATGGCCCCACGATGTAGACTAATAGGATGCCATACTCCGTTGAGGGCTATCATACAGAAACAAAATAACACAAAACCCGTCAATCCAAGCTTTTCATATGAAAACTTTCGCTGTTGGATCATTTGGAACGCTTGGATGAGTGTTCGTCGGAAGATGACTCCCCGAATGTAGATTGAAGGATGGATCGTTTCCTCACCGCATCTGCGGCATGTGTGCCTGGTAACATGGGAATTAGAGCAGCGGCAGTCCGAGATTGGAGAGGGGTCAGCAGTGAAGAGCCATTGCTCAAACGTGTTGTCACATCAACTTCAGTGGTCATTCCAGCTGAAGCAAAAGACGGGGCTAGTGTCGTTGGGTTCCACATCCTCAGACCGTCGTGATTGCCGAAGAAAGGGTTGTGAACCAAGCTAGCGCTATTAGCGTTCGTAGGATCACTAGCAGCGCGTCCCATGTTTGTCGTCCGGTGCAAGAAGGAATTATGAGCCATCATCCCTGTATTGGATCCTAGCCCCAAAAACGGGTTGAACGCTATGGCGTTCCTCAAATTGCTAGCCGCCGTCGTTGGCAGCGCCGATGCCCTTGACAGGAAAGATGCATCATCTGCTGTAAGAAATGGAGTGCCACTGGTATGCCTCCTGGTAGCCGCCAATGAAGTAGAGTGATGATTGGTAGTTCCAAGTAGCAAGGATGGTGGAAAAGAACCAGCTGTTCCGGCAGAATTGACACCAAAAGGAAGCTGTATGGAATTTCTAGCTGCAATCTTCCTTTCCAGGAAGGGTACAAAAAGATCGAGGTTTCTTTGGTTGTCTTGTGCAGTAGAAGCAGCAGCAGCATCAGTGGAGTTGGCAGCTCGCGACGGAAAACTAGCTTGTTGTTGCGTTTGTTGTTCTCGCTGTGGTGTGTAGTTATCGTCGCAGGAAGAGGAAGCCGCAATCGCTTCCAGGAGGTTCGCCCTTTCTCTCTCCGAATCGTCTTTCAGTTGCTGGGCTACTGCAGCAGCGTTTCTCTTAATGGGAGTTTTTCTTGATGTTGACGCCTTCTTCTTAGCTTGTTCCTCTTTGTATGCTTTGGATCCAGGAAGGCGCAGTTTCTCCAACGATGCCAAAAAATTGTTTCTCAGCACTTGTAATTTTTCTTTTCTCGCATTGACTTCTTCCGGGGTAGTACAGCTCCGCTGCCTGTGATAGCAGTGACGACCCTTATAATCGTATCCCTCCATCTTTTTGGAAATCCTTTTGACACCACAGTGAAGCCGGTCGCCAAGGAACCATCTCATGGTGGTACCATCTGCAAGATCCAAGGAACCATTCTTGAACTCGTCCATCAGTGCGTACATGTACGCCTTTTCCTCCGCCGTCCAAGTACCGACACGCAGAGGTCCAGACTCAAAGCTATCGTCGTCGTTCATTGTCAAAATGGTTGTGGGGCAGAGCTTATTCCATGTTCTTCATCATTGTGACAGCATCACGTCAGTGGAGTTGTTTGCCTTGGGTTTTGGGGGAGTTGGGACTTGGGAGTTCCTTGGGAACAATTATTTTCGGAATGCCGGCAGAATCACGAGTTAGCCTGACGTCATAAGTGCGTCATCCTCACTGAACACTTTGCTTCTCACTGAAGTGTGGCTCCAATGCGGCGAAGCGCAACGCGCTCGACGACGGATCCTCGTTACAGCGAGCGACAAGACAGTCTCCATTTTCAACCGACAGTTGCGATCCACCCTTATACCGACCCACACCCTTTGCAAACGAAAAAGACAAAGAGGCACCATGACAGAAGTGATAGTAGGATCAGAGGTTTGCCCGTCATGGGCTCCAGCATTGTAAGTTGATAGAGTGGTGCGGCGCGGACTGGTCTGGAGAAGAAATAATAGTGGCGGTCGTAATTGATGGGAATCATCGAGGAACTGTCAAAGATACGAGTATGCTGTTTTGTCGTGCGGCTATTGTTCTCTCTCTCACCTCTCCATGTTACTTTGTTTGATTGATACTCTGGCTTACGACGATCTGCGTACTAAACACTACAATCTACCATACTGCAGCGGCTACATGGGTGCCTCCGCCTGCATGGTCCTCGCTAGTTGGGGATCCGCATGGGGAACCTGGAGAGCTGGTCTTGGTATCTGCCAAATGGGTGTAGATCATCCCAAAGGTATCATCAAGAATATTGTTCCCATTGTCATGGCTGGAGTTTTGGGAATTTACGGACTGATTGTAGCCGTCATTATCACCCAAGCCATCTCGGCTCCGCTAGAAGGCACTGGGAACACCTACTCGGCATTCAATGGATACACACATCTAGCAGCAGGTCTTTGCTGTGGATTGTCATGCTTGGCGGCAGGAGGTACTATTGGAGTGTTGGGTGAAGTTGGAGTAAAAGGATTCGGAATCAAGGCCGAACGAGGACGCAAGTTTTTCTGGTCGGAAAGCCCCGATGGAGATGATGATGGTGGAGATGTGATGTCTGGATCCAGTGATGCAGAATCCGCCAATAAACTCTACGTTGGAATGCTGATCATGCTCATTTTCAGTGAAGCTCTGGCGCTATAGTAAGTGGAACTTTGGAACTGTATGCTTGTGACGGTGCTTTGAACGAAGCCATGTGGGTGTCTAACCATATTCTCTGCCTCTCCGATGTACCAGCGGTCTGATTGTTGCCCTTATTCTTAGTCAACGCTTGTATTCTTGCAGCTAAACTCAACGAATGAGGATCGAACCCTTTCGAGCATGCAACAACGATATGACGCCCCCAATCCGCTTCCATTCTCAAAAGTGTCGCCGCTGAGTGCTCTCTAGCATGACGCCGCAAGCATTTGGCATCACCATGACCAATCTGCCCTTATACTATTGTGTGCACTTTTAAGTATAGCTTAGAAATCTCTTTTTGTCGTCCCCTCGTCATATTTATTTCGTCTTCGTCTAGCTACTGATCGTACTTACGGGCCAGGAAGCGACTTCACAGAAACTCAGTTATTTCGCTTGCAACAGAGTGTCTAGCTAGAGCTGTCTACCGGTATCCATCGGCAGTCCCTGGAGGTCATCTTATCGGTACAACGCAGAACATAAGCATCCGACGAATCAAAGAACTGGTACAACCCAGGTCGCCTTTTCCTTGTCAAGTAAGCTATCAAAAACGTTGCTGTTGTAGCAGTGTGGTTCTTCGTGCAGGTTTAAAAGCGACGAGACGCAACTGGTTGGCTGGGGCGGAAGTTGCCTCCTCACAAATGAGGCAAGCCCAAAAGGATAAGCTGGGCGGACGGTGGTTTGCTATTACGTGCCGGTGTTCGCTCTGAAAGAAAGCAAATACAGCACGGAGATTCGTCTATCTCTCTTACTTATTTGTTTCCCACTAGTTTGACAGTACCATTGCGTTAGCTGCCGATCCGGTACCAGCAGTGACATAGACAGACGGGGCACACAAACTGGCTTGCAACAGCTCTTGCAACATGGGCTGGACCGAGCATCCAGTAAAGTCCTGCAGGATTCAGCATTCCGGAACGCAGTTGATGTCCTGGGAGATGTAGAGATGTACTTGAGTTGTAGGTGAGGAGCATGGGAATTAATTTTGCAAATAGTGAGATGGTGATCTGGGCAACCATGATTAGGGTCATAGTTGCGAGAACCCATGAGGGTTAGAGTTTCCACGCCGCGGAGCGCGAAAACTCGGACAGGCGGTTCCCCTGGCGTGCTGCTGCTCGACACGAAATAAGGGAGAAGAAACTGCACAACCAGTGTCACTGGGTATTTTGGGACTTGGTAGACACCAACGGTCCATGATCCACATAAAAAGACTTAACGACTCATGTTGAAGTTTTCCCTGCTTTTTAACGGTTCGACGCCTCGAAGTCTAAGGTTAAAGCTACCGATATGAATGGACCATACCAGTTCGAAGTTATCAGTCAATGATTGGAGCTCTATCGGTACGGTATCAGTTACGAACCGCTACTAGTATACGAGGGGAGTGCTAACGAGGCGTTTTCTCCCACGACTCAGAAGACCAGTGACTCACCCCAGTCGGAGGTCAAGGAATAGAGTTCATGAGCATCGGAAGAGCGCGCATAGTCTGCGCAGCATATTCCACACTGTGATCCACGATGGATGCACCGTGGTCCCATTTAGCCCTCATGTCTCAATCCTACCCGAGTCGAATAGGTGCCATGTTTGAACAAAAGCCGATGCCGGCTTGTGCCGTTACGTTTCTATCAGTCTGAACCTTGACAACGAAATCCAATAGACTTGATAGATCGTAATGCTTATAATATTCTCTTTTACTGTTTGCCATTGCACGTCTTCCAAAGGTCTAGTCGAAGCTAACCACGCTACGACGCTAACCCAAGGAAGAGAGATTACCCCTTACGAAATAGGATTTCAGCACTGACCAGTCACACCACTTACCAATATATGTTGCAAGTAAAAGAAGCTCCAAGTCCAGGTTGTCTCGCTCATTTGTGTTGGTTCCACGTGCGACATAGGTTGTATCTGTCTTTGGATTTCTGCGGAAGATATCAACAAGTGATGTCGGCGGATCACTTAAGCAGCCATTTACACTACGCTAAAAGCTAGTGTAAAGATCTTTCGAGTGTTTTGAGTTTGAGAGAATGAAAGTTATGAGAGAGATTAGAAAGCTACGAAAACTAATCCATAAGAGAGATCGTTGTGAAGCTCATTGAACTTTTTCACGTGGTGTTGGAGGAAACATACCTGACACCTCTTTACTATTGACTCGTGTATTAAACATCTAGTCCGGTTCGCATGTAAATTGATCATGCAAGGAACCAAGGGAGTTTTAGGTCTAAAGTGTTGCGGGGGTCCTTATATCCAATTCAATCACAAGAATTTCTATGCACCACCAGAAAATCCTCACTTTTGCTTTTCAGCTTAATCTAAAACCAAATTACTCCCCAATAAGCTGCAGTATTACTAGCAAACAACACTGAAAAGCAAAAGTCTCATCTCGAGTTCGAACAGATCAACACCTCGAGATTAATACATCAAGTTGATCCAAGACTATCAAGTCATTGCATTGAGTAACTATAGCAACAGAGAAGAGGTGCAAAGAATCAGCCTCTAGCCTCACTATCAGAGCATCGAAACACCTCTAACACGAAAGAGGTGCGTGCGCGGGAATTCCCATCTTCAGTCCCATTATCACACGTCAAAGATCAACTGTCAGTTTCGGCCGGAACTACAGCGATAAAGAGAAGAGATCCTCAAAGGGATAGTAACTGTTGTCTGCCTGTCCATTTGGTTGGAAGAGAACTGACGCTTGAACTCTTGTTCTGGATTCTATAAGCTGTTGCCTCTTCACTTGATGCTCTTTCCTGTAGGAATTGAATCCACCACCCTCCTAGAAGTGTATCTTCCTCCACCGCAGACCACCTCTTCCTTGGAATTCATGTCTTGCGTTGGTGTGGTAATTGCCTCTTTGGTGCTTTCTTGTTCCTTGGAACTAGCTTGTGTTCTCGTGGAACTGTTCTTGTGTGGATACTCCTGCAGGAAGGATCTCACGACGGGCACTACTCTTGTAGTTGCCTGTAAAAGCTTCTTGTTGGCTGGATAGCCTTCTTTTGGCACTCTTGGTGCACCTGTTTGTGGCTGGTAGCCTCTGTCTTTGACAGCTCAGGAATTCCAGAGGAACTCGTGGTGTTCTTCTGTGGAGCCTTGGGTAGTAGCGAACTGCCTCGTTGGTCCTTTGTTGCCTCTGCAAAGCTTGCAGATGGTCTTGGTATGTTGGTAAGTGCACTGTGTGAGTTTCAATAGCTGGAAACAGTTCTCGTGAGGAGTTGAAGAGTTTTAAAGCTCTGTGTCGTTACCGTGGATTTTTCTTTCACTTCACAATAGCGGTGGATCACTCGGATCAACCTTCTTCACTCAATATCGGAGTTAGAAGCGTGCACTCTAGCAGCCAAAGCATGCAAATGCGTATGGAGTCGCTATCAAAGATAGTAGTCGAATGGATGAATAGAACAAAGCATAAACTCATCCATGTTTGTCAATGTTGACCACCGCACAACTCTTCACAGAGGGGATACTTCGTTGCAATTTCTCTATGGCGTCTTGGCTTGCAGGAGCTCACGTTCGGACGATAGCTTGATACGGTAGTTGTTGCCTCGTCGCCCAGCCGTGATATGATGATCAGAAATCTCGCGTCGATGACACGATTACGTAATCGACTGTAACTCAACTGGATAAGATGGATTTCCTCTTTCAAGCGAAGATACGTGTAGTGTTCCCTTGATCACCTTGTATGCTTGG